ATATATATACGTATATATACACAAGACTCGACAGTAATTAACCAAGAACTTGTCCCGTCTGGCCACTTCAGTGAAGTAGTGGAGATGCGTACGAACGACTCAAGAATATTGCGGCTACCGCGATGTAGACCAACCGTGTTGCACGTTGCTCGCCTCGAAATCGAAAAGAACAAACAGACCGGTGGCGTCGTGACAGAGAGAGCAGCGCCCGTACCCCCCGTGGGATACGTTCGTTTACAGCGACGCGCGATTCTTAACCTGCCCGTAGAGCGTAGATACCATCGATGATTTTTTTCTTAGAGACGCAGAGAGTGTCCAGAAACCGCAGCGCAGAAAGGAATTTTAAATTTTGCTTTAATTATTGCCATTTTCACGCTGAACTGTTCCGGATTCTTCTCGCGCTCATCTAAACGCGTTGTGCAACGACCGAAGCTTGCGAACAAATTTTCGTTCTCCAGTCTTCTGCTGGCAGAAGAAGGGGTACCTACACACAGCTCGAGCGGTTTGCTTCGTTGTCTTTCGCGGTCGCCGAGCGAACGACTCTGTTCTAAGCAGGTGTAGAACCATTCATTTGCCAGCAGCGTGACAAGTGATGAAATTAATTCCGACCACGTTCGTGCCACGTTCAATGGCTTCTTACTTTCCCGTCTCTCGATAACTCCTCTAGCCTTCGTCGTCGTCGACGACGCCTTGCGATCCAACATCACCGGTATCCGAGTTCTCGTTCGGTAATGGCTTGTAAGAGGAAACGGGCGAAGATTTATCGGTTTGCCCGGAACGAAAATGTATGTGAGTCAACAATACGTCGATACACAATGTAAGGGGCGCGGGGCTGTTAGTCAGTGTGGCGGCTGACGGTGGTATTCGCGCTCGAGGCACGCCGACAAAAACGCGTGTGCACACAATCGAACCCGCTCGAACGCGATTTCCAATGGCGTTTCTTTTCGCTCGGCCGCGAATGATTAACGATTGAACGCACTCGACTTCCGATTGGTGCCGCCTCGACACGGCCCGAACGGTAAGGAACAGCTCGGCCTCGCGTCTTGTCCTCGATCGTTTTTCGATTTTTATTTTCCTCCCCGTGTACTCCTCCTCCTCCTCCTCCTCCTCATTCTCCTCCCTCTCCAACCGCTGCCACTTTTCTTCCTTCGCTCTTTGTCCGTTCCGCGCCTTCCAGTTTCTTGATTTATCGTTGCTCGCTGCCACCACCATCGCCGCCGCAAAATCGCGCCCTCGAGCGCAAAGGGCTATGGTCGGGATCGCTCGGAATTCTCGCCGAACCGTGGAAGACGCTACTACGGTTCGCTACGGTAGCACAAACCGACTCCACGCGCAAACAAGACAGTGAACCGTGGAACGTGAACGAGACGAGAAGGGTTGTTCTTGCCCTGGCCCGCGAATCAAACTGCAATACATCAACGTAACGAGTGGGCTTTCTTCTGCCGCGTAGATTGCGTTCAAAGGGCGGGCTATATCGACCGGTAAAGCAGCGGCGCAGGTAATGAGCTTGACATCCTGTTGAAAGTGTTACGTAAGCGACATTAACGGAAGAAGAATGAGACCGCTATTAAAAGCCGTACCAACGGCCTAACGTCTTTATTCTTGGCGTGACAGGCGACGTTCGCCGAGTTTTGCGACGTGTAGCGTATTAGTTATGATTTATTAATAGTCCTAAGCGACTTCGATGCCCTCGCGGTAAAATTAGTATTCCCTTCTGATGAGGTTTCTCCGTACACCGGCCGGGATTCTCGCCACGCTCTGTTCGTCGTCATCATCCCGATCTATGACCATGTGACCACCTGAATTCGCGTACTCGGTCAAGTTTGATCTTTTCACGGGTATTCCCAAGTGAGATTTAGACTGTAGACTGGTCTCTAGATATTTCGCGATGACAGATTCTACTTCACTTGTTGAAAAACTTTGCTACTCTTCACGTCGATGATTATCCACTTGGGGGGAAAATTATAGAGATTTTAACGTCAACTAGACTAGTTCGAGCTAGCCAATCACATTCCAAATACCTTGGGCCTTGTTTGATTGCACTGCCGTAGGTTGTCTAAAAACGGTAAAATTAAAGCATCGACCGTTTCTAGAAAACACTAAGCATAACAGATCTGCGGGTCAGCGACTGTCTCGATTTATGCGGATGTTTCTAAGACGATTTAATAAACATACTTTCGAAAAAAATTTAGACCAGGGATAGGGATATAATGAAAGGCCATATTCGTCTTTGCACCCTTACTTTGTTCTAAAAAAAATTTCTCTTACTTCTACAGATTTATTTTCACACTAGAACGTATTTATAATAAACTAGTTTTTCATTCCTCTAGAAAAATAAAAATAAAATACAAGGATAATGGAGACTGTCCAAAGCGGTTGTTATCTTGAATAAGAATTTATTACAACTGTCTCACATTGTTTTATTGGGAAAAAGTATGTATACATGATATGTATTCCATAAACAGAAGAAAAAGTACTACTATTTTAAAATTCAGATGACTAATTTAAAAAAAAAAAATCGAATATTAGAGTCCCACCTTGAGAATTTTGAGTTGATCTTCTAAATTATAAAACATCCAGGCCGTTGAACGACTTTCGATCCGAGTCAGAATATGATCAGAAAACGTGAAGTCTAATCACTAGATTCTTCATGATTCAGAACGGAAGAATGTTTAACATTCTAAAGCTGTTCACCCGATCTTTCTGTTCTCCGAAGCGAGAAAGATTTGCAATACGCGTCGATACGAAACTTGGAGTTTGCAATCGCAACGAATTCGAGGTCTTTCGCGTATCTCGTATTTCGCAAGAATCGGTCAATCAGCGCGCGCTAGTATCGATCGCGACACGGCTGCAGAACGTTTAAATGTTTTAAGCACGAGATAGAGAGAGAGAGAGAGAGAGAGAGTACGGCGTGGCGGAGCTTGATTTAAACGAGTAATAAGATATTAATTGGGCCGGGATTTCGATAATTCGAACAAACACGATTTACATAAATAGCGGATACGCGCGAGTAACGGGCGGATCGATCGGCTCGTTTCGTGCCCGGCCGTTAATAGATTGTCAGCCAATGTTGTTCCGTTAGCGTGCAGTTAAGTTACAGCACCGAAATTCGAATCTATCAATGGCTATTCAACCAGAGACCCATTCGCTCGATAGATCGATCCGCGGAATTTCCGCCGCCGGGCACCGCGCGCCCCGTCCACGCAACTATTCACCGTTCACGATTTCATCGAACGATCGAGCGGCTCTTTCTCTCTGTTATGAAATGCTAAAAAGTTGCGCGAGACTCGATACGACGTTTGAAAAAGAGAGTAGGAAAATTTTGCGGCCGTCGTTCGTCGGCCCGAACGTCTGAACGTTACGTTCGCGTACTCTGCAGCGCATAGTTGCCGTGCAACATAAACATTATTACGGTGCTTAAAGCTCGATCGAATTAAGTAACGACGGGAACGTGATATATCCTTGCGCAACTATTGAAACAAATTAATACGATTTCTAGTGGATCGGCGCCGTTTGTTCCAGTATAATATTAATACTTTCACAGCGGCCGCACTGCGATTTTTAACCACTGCGTGCGTGATATTGGTGAAATTGAGATATTAATTCTACTGGCTCTTCGAGCGTGGCATTTCGCACTGGATCGTAATCTTATAAAAGCTACTCTTCGCGAGTAATTAAATATAATGATTTCACAGGCTGAGCACAATGACCGCTCGCAAAGCCGATAAAAACATCGAAATTATTCGGCCCGTAAAGTAGCGTGACGTATGATTCTGCGCTCGTTGCGAACGAAACGCCATTCAAATTGCAGGTCGAACGACAACAGTCTCCGGCAAGTGTCTTTAAGGAGGCTGCAAAGAGATCGTTAGTTCTATCGTATAATTTGCCGGTTACGCAAGCCGACGTAACTACTTGGAAATCTTGTCATCGCCGGCCGTTGCAGATCGTTGCGATTATTGCGTGCCACGCGCGTTTTCCTGCCGATTTTTCGAAAAGTCGACCCGACTTACTCGCGTAAAAAAAGAAAGAAAGAAAGAAAAAAAATTGTATTTGATCCAGTTTCTCTCCGATGGAGAGGAAATTGAAAATAAAGCACGTAACGTACGACGCGGAAAAAAGAAAAGATAACGCGAAGTTGCACACGATCCAGAGCTTTGCGTGAGTCTTTCTACGGAAGAAAATAGAAAATGAAAATAGATAGATTGGAAGCCACTCATTCGATAGAAATTGACGGAGGTGATGACATTGCGTGCTCGGCGATTTGCGCTTTCGAGTCGATCGTCTCTGTAGAAACTTGTTTGAATAAACCTATTTGAAAGATTTGATCCCTCAGTTTATTATATTCAAAAGTTTCAGTTTAACTGAACTTTTACAGTTATTCCAATTATTTTTATGTGCAACAGATACTGGTTCATTCCTTCTCGTGTAATAATAATTACAAACCTATCCCTACTGTTAGTTCGTGAAGAATTTTCTGTTTCGGTTGGATCGAAGAAGCTTTGATCTAATGTAGTATTTTTCACGGGAATAATATTTTACCTAATATTGCTATACTTTTTTAGACTATTCCCTTATGTATTCCCATCTAATGTTTAATCTTTCTATCTCTTTATCTATGTTTTTAGGATTATTTATCTTTTCAATTTACAATAATTATTTAAAGTTCTTCTCTCACTTAGTTCCATATAATTCTCCTAAACCATTAATAAATTTTATAGTAATTATTGAGTTAATCAGGTATTTAATTCGTCCGACAACTCTTGCAATTCGACTTTCGTCAAACCTCATTTCAGGACATTTAATTCTAATTCTTCTAAGTAATTTTATAATAAATTTCTTGTCTCTTATACCTGTAACTATCATAATTCAGAATACGCTTTTGATTCTTGAAATTTCAATGTCAATTATTCAAGCTTATGTATATACCGTACTTATAACACTATATTTTAAAGAATCAAATTAATATAATGAAAAGGAATTTTCCATATTTTATAGCAAAAAATAGTCCATGGCCTATTATTATGTCATTTAATTTAATAAATCTTCTAATTAGAATCATTATTTGAATCAATACTAAAAGAGTATAATAATCAATAATTAATAATAATAATAATGTTCATTAATGTGTGCACTACTAAATTTATTTGAAACCGAGATATTGTTCGTGAAAGTATTTTCATAGGAAATCATACTTTAATTATTATAAATATGCTGACTACAATAGAGTTGTAGAAAATAAAGGCTTCTCAAGCGCAGATTTTGAGTAATTATTTATTAAATTAAATGATTCGTTCGTTCGTTCACAAAGAACGTTTAATTTGCAATGGGCTAGCTTGGAATAAACGAAGTAAGAATAGAAACAAGACGCGCGTCTTGTACGACGTCTGCACTTTTGCAACAAACTTCTGCAAACAACAAGCTTTCCTTTCTGCGACGGAAATCAACGACGGAAAAGTGAAGGTAAACAGTCGGTCAAACGGTAAAGAATCGCGCGTTATGCTTCGACGAGAGGTTATCGGCTCGTCTGCACTCTGCTGTCTCTCGTAGATTTCCTCGAGAGAGGACCGTGTACACGCTGGACTCGCGTGCTTATTCACGATCGAAGCCAGTGCACGGCGAAGCGAAGTGAAAGTTCTCTCGTAGCGCCTCTCATCGTACCGATGCCGCGAGCGAGCGAGCGATTCTTGTTTCCTTTTTTTCTCTTTTTCCTCCGTTCCCGATTGTCTCGTCACCGGGAACGCGCGCAGTCGCGGCATTATCGTTGGCTGACGCGAAGAAGGAAACGCCACGCCGAGAGAGAGAGAATGGATGCTGGAAATAGCACCGTTGATCCTGAACGATCTCCGATCCAGTCACCGCCGAGACAAATTCTCACGCTTCTCACACGGCCTGAGCAACGCTCGCTATCATAATAACGCCAGGTTAATAACGCCTGGCTTGGCATCGTTCGCCATATAAATTAACGCCTGACCCGCACCCAACGATCCTCTTGCTCCTCTACGTGTTCTCTCCAAACGCGTCCTCGATGCTCCGAGCGTTGCACTGTGCGTTGCATTTTCATTTTATCTTTCTACTGCGAGAGACGTAGATCGAGACCGGTAGATCGAGTTGTTGCACCAGGAACGGAGATTATCTTCGAGCTTCGTTTAATGCCCGAGATCTGGTCCAGATATTAACGTCATAACATGTTTACTTTAAGTTAATTTAAGTTATTGATATTTCGAGCTATCCTACGTGTCTAATCCTTCCCCCCACGAAGTAAATCGTAAATATATTTTTTCATTATTATTATTATTTTTTTTACAGTGAGAAGCGCGGTGGACGTGTAACTTCGAAGCGGTCGAGTAGCACTGGACGAATTCATTATTGCATCTCAGTTATTAAATTCGTTAATTTATATAGAGAACGCGTGACGTATATATTTCGCCCGACTATATGTATATATATATATATATATATATTTCATTCAGGTAAAGTAGCAAATTAGATCAATCAAACGTGCGTGCCGACCGTGTCCACAATCCCGACTTGACGTTTGAGAATGGTCGGCAATTTCGCGCGGAACTGAAGTAAAACGAACGAGGCGTCGATGCCAGCTCGTCCGTGGTGGTCCGTGTTGGCTCGACTAACGCTAGTTAGTGGAGCAATGCATAATCGGTGGTGGAAAAATGGTAAGACGACGACGAAGGAATCGTGCGCAGGTGTGAGTCACAGCGGGACCGATCGTCCGCTAACGATCCACGGCACGCCGATAGATTTTCGTCGAGAGCGATTTTTAGCTTAGCCGGCGCGGCGTGGCGGAGGGGAATTCCGCAAAACAAGGTTTCGCGAGAGAACAGGTCTCCTGGTTGTGCTCACGGTTCTTACGTGCTTTCTAATGTAAAGTATGCGCCCGGCTAATGGCTCGGAGGAGAACAGATATTGCATCGGGACGCCGCGGCGGAGCCGTGTGGTAAGGTGCCACGGCAGGCAATTAATTCCTCCGGCAGACTTCCGTATCGGAAAGAGATAAACGTTGGACGCTCTCGGTCGGGACCCTAGGATCGTATATTACGCCGCTGGTTTTGCGAAGCGGGCTTTTTCCGAAGCGATCCAGCGAGCCGTGTGTGTGTTCCGCGCGCACCTTGGTGAGAGCTGCGACTTGGAACCAAGAGGAGAGGAGGAGGAAACCACGACGAGGAGCTACGCGTCCTCTCCTCCTCGTCCTCGTCGTCGTCGTCGTCTTCGTGCCTGCTCTCCTACGGTCCTCTCCGTGTTCTGTCTTTTCCTTCCTCGACAACGTATAGAACGTGTCGGGATGGTACGCTTGCACAACGAGTGGACTGGCGCCAAGTAGATGTCGCCACTACCTATTTGGTCACACAAGGACGCGATCTACACGCACGCGAGCCCCCGTGTCTTCTGTCCCCTATTCCCAGCTCCCCTTTAATCGCGGGATACCTTAGATTCCATTCGGCTAATTAAGGCCAAGCGTTATGCTAAATCTTGCTAAATTTAACTGCGGATCGGTGCGTCACGACCGGCTGCCGATCCATTAATTGCACGGCCGCGTCCAAAACGGAAACACGTCGCCCCGGGAAAATCTGCGGAACTCTTCAGAACTCCGTATACCGGCGCGACGACGCGCCAGTAATTACTCTGGCCGCGTAATGTCTTACTTCGCGGTGATCTGAATTAGTAATCGAATCCGCGGCTCGAACGGTTCGCCCCGCTTGCCAATCGATTAATCGCCGCTGCCAACGATATCGCGTTTAATACGGAAAAACAGCGACTAGATCGATCCTTTTAATCCTCCGTGTGTGTTCGCTCTGGCGATACGTTTACAACTATTTTTGTCCTGTTTAATACCGATCAATTGAAGCGCGGACTTACATTTCAACACGTTCCGTGCCGTTTAAAGTTTTCGTAAAACGAAGAATTTTCTACAAATTTGTTACAAAGTCGTGTATTTCATATTTATCCTACCGTGCGGCGTGCACGATCATTTCTTTCTGACCGTCCGTTAACATCAACAATTAAATTTGGAAAAAATTTGTTATTAAATATTTATTAGTATTTAGTATTATTATATAATTTGTACGATATTTATAAATTATTATTATTTAGTACATAAACACAATTAATTCTGACCTGAACGATCATTGAAGAATTGTTTGTTAGGATAATATCTTAAAATTAAATTTATTGCTTCTTATTGCATTTTAAACCCTGGATAATCATTATTCTTCTGCATTATTATAAAAATTGTAAATCTAAACTAATTGCAACGCGGAAGCAAAATTATTGATCGTATTAGCGTGAAACGTGTTAATACGCTTCTCAAATTCGTTGCTTCATAGCGTATTCCTATTCGAGTCAGGTTAGCCAACAGACGAGACCGTAGAAGGCAACGGACATCTTTATTGAAATAACGCAATAGCGATGATTCACCAATCTCCTTCTAGCGAGAAAATTTATTTCAAGTATCCAAACTATCTCAACGACTGCCATGCTCGTGCCATGCAAGTTGCGTCTTAATTTCGAATATTACCGCGAAAGAGAGACGCGGTTGGCGCGTCATCGACGTTGACGAACAAATATGGCCGCGTTTGAGTTGTCATTGCCGCGTGCCAATCGACAAGATTCGTCCTTTTGCCAAAAATAAAGTCACGGGCATCGCGCAGCAAGTTCGAGCAGCAAGCGTCGATCTCAACGAAATTACGTCGTTGGCAGTTTGTCGATTACGTTCGTGTGTTACGAATCTGCGCGTCGGACCGCATAGTGGGTATTCAATTGTAAACAATCGCGATGAGGCACGCGCACGCCGCTGCTGCAACTTGTAAACACCGTTTGGCGAGAGTACGGTTTGCTCGCTCTCGGATCAACGAGACTCATACTTCGCGCATCTGCGAGAGACTCTCAGGTGAACTCTCGTCCACGGCGCGGCGACTCGACAGACGGTAAGTTCCCACATTTCCCTTTCCCGCCGAACGAATCGTTCTCGACGTTTCATCAGATAATGAGTCGACTTATGCTTCGAGCCGACTCGCCAAACGTGCAACTATCTCTTTTAACAAAGAAATCAATGGCGTACCGTAGGTACGGTATCGGGGCGGTATCGTCGGTATTGACGAGCTGACACGCGCGACAGTAGAATGCAGCGATTGTCTCGGCTCTTTCTCTCTCTCTCTCTACCACGCTGGCTTCAAACATAATTCAAGCGCCCCGGACAAAAGTCAAGGCAAATCGTAGAACGTTGGCATTCAGCCGTGGCATCGCGATCGGTCTGTCCTCGGATCGGAGATCGCGCGCGATAAACGAGAGCGCGCGTGCGTCGATGAATTAGAGAATCGGTGGTTAGAGATTTGACACGGAACGTTGTCGAGTCGAATGTCGAGTCCGTGTATACAGACACCTATTGGCCACGC